CTTTTTCCTGCTTCACAGCCAGCTCTGCCAAGGATTGATGGGACATGCAGATTGAGCCCCCAATCTCACAAAGACGTATGATCTGCTCGCTTAACTTGACTCACGTGAGTCACCCCATTGGCTTCAAGGAGAGTTAACGTCTAGAAGCATTTTCAGGATTAGGGCCCTATACCATAAACCAGTGTGTGTGAAATCCTGGCCCCATCGAAATCCAGGACAAAACTCTTGTTAACTGGTTTATTTATTGTAGACTGATCAAAATCCTCATGAGGAATCACTCACAGTGTTTGATTTAACGGGGATCCATCCTGCCAGGTCCACGTCCTCCCTGGGGATGCGATGTTAAGTCCAATCCACACCTGATGTTGGTCCCGTGTAATATTCCATATGGACGCCTGTGAAATGGACGACATGTCAGAGTGACCAGAACATGCTCTGATTCGCTGGCTCAGTTGCTTGCTGTGCACATGGGACCTCATCTCAACCGTGGTCAAGGTCAAGGGGCAGACAAATCTACTAGGGACATGACTCAGTCTGGGTTGGATTCAGTAGGGGAGAAAAGGGAGGGGAATGAGAAAAAAATTCAACATTTTTCAGTTGTATACAACTGAAACGAAAAGTTGGGTTCATTTTCACAACAAAAGTTTCTTGCAAAAAGTACCAAAATGTTTCTTTAATTTCCCACTGGAGGGAAAACTGTGATTTTGGACCAGCTGTAATTAATAGCAACACACATCCTGCAGTTGAATATAGCACGTTCTTTACCATCTCCTCCCGGTCATGGATCACTAGCAGTTGTGCTCTCTTCATTAAACAGTCGTCACGGCTCCACTCCCAGGTTTTAAAAACTGTAGAAAACCAGTAACATTTGTCCCCATGCAGCAGCCAGTCCTTGGGGCAGAGTTTGCAGCTGGAACCCTCTGGAGGGGGAAATGGAAGAGAGGTGTCGTTAATGATCATTCTGAACAGGGCTGACCACCTTTACAGAGATGCATGGAGCCTTCATGCTCAGGGCTTTACTGAACCCAGGACTGGGGCCTAGCGGCAGAGACGAGGTGACTATGTGGGCGAGATGGGATCAGTATGTGGGCACGACTAAAACATCAGTTGGTCTGGACCCCAATGTCCCAGCAGCAGGGGGCGCTGTGCTGCACGGAGCAGGGTGGGGGCTCGGTAGGAAGCGTTCTCTCTCTGCAGTCTGTGCTGGCCGCAATGCCCCAGTGTGGGGCTAGAGGGTGCTGTAGGGAATGAGATGGGGGTTCGTGGCTGCTCACATGCAGGGCTGACCCCAATGTCCCAACACTGGGGGACGCTGTGCTGCAGGGAGTGGGATGGGGGACTCTGTAGGGGGCGCTCTCCGCTCACAGTCAGGGCTCACCCCAGTCCCATTGAACTAGGGGGTGCTGTGCAGCAGGGAGGAGGGGTGTCTGACTCAGTAGTGGGGGGCTCTTGACTCCATACCAGATGCTGTTCCCCAGGTGGTGCCATCTTTCAGGTGAAGGATAATATAGAGGCGCAGAGCTCTGGTGGGCATTAGAATGAAGGTTGGTTTTGTGGTTCAGACCCCGACCTAGGACTCAGAAGAGCCGTGTTCTGTTCTGGGCCCTGTCACTAGCCTGCTGCGTCCTTGGGCAGGTCATGGCCTGCCCTGTGCCTCAGTTTGTCCCTCTGAGTGTCTTGTCTATTTACACTGTGAACTTGTTGGGGCCGGGGCCATCTCAGCGTCTCTTGGTCCCATGACAGCTAAACTACAGGATTCTATTAAAGTTGTCGGAATGATTCAAGCCTGCAGTTACCTGCGCTGGCCACTCGCTGTCACTGCTGAGGCTGAGTGGCCCTGGAGATATTAAACAGATCTGAAGGGGTGGGAGAGAAGAGGGGGTGCGAGAGCGGCTCTGCTTTGGGAACAGTCAGTGCCTGTAATGGTGACTGCGGGAGGCAGCATGAGCTGGGGTTACCTGCTGGCTGATTGTTTTGTGTATAACACAAATGTTGCCGCAGGTGAGAGCGGAACTCCTCCAAGTCGCTGCATCCTCTTCCTTTAGGACTGGGCTGAGCTGAGGTTTTGTCCTCCATCGTTTTTGGGTCGGCTCCGGTCAGTGATGGGATCAGGGAACCTTGGAGAAAATTTCTCTGTGGATGGTTGTTGGAAGCCAGAGATTGGAAAAGACAGGGCTGGGGTGAATCAGCCAGAGCTCCATTGGAGTCAATAGGCCTGGTGTGAATTGGCCAAAGTCCCATTGGGATTAATGGGGGCAGACTCCGAGCTGGCGCAAATAAATGGAGCAACACCAGTTAGTTGCACCAGTTAGAATCTGGCCTAGAGTGCGGCAGTGTAATAGATTCATCCATTCCAAGGTCAGAAGGCAGCATTATGATGGTCTAGTCCAGGGATGGACAAACGTTTTGGCCCGAGGGCCACATCCGGGTATGGAAATTGTACAGTGGGTCATGAATGCTCATGAAATTGGGGTTGGGGTGCAGAAGAGGGTGAGGGCTCTGGCTGGGGTTGCGGGGTCTGGGGTGGGGCCAGAAATGAGGAGTTCAGGGTATGGGAGGGGGCTCTGGGCTGGGGTATGGGTGCGGCTGGGGGGTGAGGGCTCCAGCTGGAGGTTTGGGCTCGGGGGTGGGGATGAGGGGTTTGGGGTGCAGGAGGGTGCTCCGGTCTGGGACCGAAGGGTTCGGAGGGTGGGAGGGGGATCAGGGCTCGGGCAGGGGTTGGAGCATGGGAGGGGGTCAGGGGTGCAGGCTCCTGGCGGCCCTTACCTCAAGCATCTCCCAGAAGCAGCAGCATGTCCCCCCTCTGGCTCCTCCATGGAGGCGTGGCCAGGTGGCTCTGCGTGCTGCCCCGTCCACAGGCGGCGCCACTGCAGCTCCAATTGGCCGCAGTTCCCAGCCAATGGGAGTTGCAGGCAGCGCTTGGGGCAGAGGCAGTGTGCAGGAGCCCTCTGGCTGCCCCTACGCATAGGGAGGGGTAGCTCAGTGGTTTGAGCATTGGCCTGCTAAACCCAGGCTTGTGAGTTCAATCCTTGAGGGGGCTACTTAGGGATCTGGGGCAAAATCAGTACTTGATCCTGCTAGTGAAGGCAGGGGGCTGGACTTGATGACCTTGCAAGGTCACTTCCAGTTCTAGGAGATAGGATATCTCCATTAGTTTTAGGGGGGAGGGATAGCTCAGAGTTTGAGCATTGGCCTGCTAAACCCAGGGTTGTGAGTTCAATCCTTGAGGGGGCCATTTAGGGAACTGGGGTAAAAATCTGTCTGGGGATTGGTTCTGCTTTGAGCAGGGGGTTGGACTAGATGACCTTCTGAGGTCCCTTCCAACCCTGATATTCTATGATTCTAGGGACATCCTGCTGCTTCTAGGAGCTGTGTGGAGCGGGACAAGCCCTAGACCCTGTTCCCCGGCGGAAACTCGAGGGCTGGATTAAAATGTCTGATGGGCCAGATGCGGCCCCCGGACCATAGTTTGCCCACCCCTGGTCTAGTCTGACCACCTGTATCGCACAGGCCAGAGAATTCCACCTGGCCATTCCTGCACTGAGCCCAGCAACTTGTGCTGCGTTCATGGTGCGTTGCTGTGCAGCCCAAACGCAGTCTTGGCACACTCACCCCGAGCAGCCAGCGCCGTCAAAACTCTCAGCAGCACGACGTTCCCAGCCAATGTGAGGCCCAGAGCCAGCCAATGCCAGTACGGGCACCTCGGGCGATCTGCAAGAGGCAGTGTGCACTGTTGAGCTAATACCGTGTGCTTCACTCACAGGCCTTTGGAGCTTGCAAGGGGGTCTCTACCCTCGGACGATTTGGCCCTGCCTGTTTCCACTTCCCACTACCAACAAGGGACTCCCTGTGACACTTTCGGGGAAACCCGAGGAGTCCAGCGTCAATCGCTGCTACCTGCTCCCAGCAGGAGGGAGCCTTGTCCGTTCTTCCGGAGAGCTGGGATCCACTTGTCATGAGACACCTGCTGGCAGAATTGCTGCTTCCATGTAACATTTGTACCTGCTTCACTTCTCCTACACAGTCCCAGAGCTTTACCTTTGTCAAAATCAAGTTTGCATCTGCCCCAGACTGAAAACACAGGGCTGGGTCATAGAATGATAGACGTGTAGGACTGGAGGGGATCTCAAGAGGTCATCTAGTCCAGTCCCCTGTGCTCACAGCAGGACTACATAATAACTAGACCAGTCCTGACAGGTGTTTGTCTAAACTGTTAACATGAGAACAGCCATACGGGGTCAGACCAAAGGGCCATCTAGCCCAGTGTCCTGTCTTCCCACAGTGGCCAGTGCCAGGTGCCCCAGAGGAATGAACAGAACAGGGAATTATCAAGTTATCCATCCCCTATCACCAATTCCCAGCTTCTGGCAAACATAGGCTAGGGCCACTATCCCTGCCCATCCTGGCTAATAGCCTTCAATGGACCTATCCTCCATGAATGTACCTTGTTCTTTTTGGAACCCTGTGATAGTCTTGGCCTTCACAACATCCTCCGGCAAAGAGTTCCACAGGTTGACTGTGGAAATCTCCAATGACAGAGATTCCACAACTTCCCTGGGCAATTTATTCCAGTGCTGAACCACCCTGACAGTTAGGAAGTTTTTCCTAAGGTCCAACCTAAACCTCCCTTGCTGCAATTTATGCCCATTGCTTCTCCTATTCTCAGGGGTTAATGAGAACAATTTTTGACCCTCCTCCTTGTAACAGCCTTTTCTATACGTGATAATTATTATCATGTCCTCCCTCCGTCTTCTCCTCTCCAGACTAAACAAGCCTGTTTTTTTTCAATCTTTCCTCATAGGGCATGTTTTCTAGACCTTTAATCACTTGTGTTGCTCTCCTCTGGACTTTGTCCACATGTGTCTGTGGATGTCAATTGTTCTCAGTGTTGATTGAGTCAGCTTTGAGACCCACCCAGCCTCAGGTGATAAGGTTCTTCTCCACCAATTTTGGAAACCAGTATTCTGAATGTTACATAACTCTAGAAATGTTTCCTGTGCAAACATTCACAATAACCATGAGAACCAGCTAGTATTTCTTTTTTAGTAGAGACCTACATGATCCCCTTTTGGTGAAATAGTGAGACGATGCTCAGACACAGATGTAATACACCTGCCAGGGCATGCCTGGACATATGTGGTCATGTCTGTGTCGCACTCCCATGGTGCACTGTGGCGACTCAGCCAGAGGGGAGGCTGCTGTGCACCATGGGAAATGTAGTCTGTTCCAGCCCATAGAGGAGAATGGGGGCAGGAGAGAAGTGAACTACAACTCCCATGAGGCACTGCAGCAGCTCAACTGGACACAGGTTCAAGTCAAACTGACTTTGACATTTTGTTTCATTTTTCCCAGTGGAAAGACATTTTGGTGGCAGATTCCCAGCCAGTTTCACTCAGCACCCAACCTGCTGGGCCCTCCTGAAAATCTAGGCCCTTATTTTGGCACCTAAATGAGAGCTGAGACCCTCCGAAGCCCTGGCGCCACTGGTGAGTGCTGAGCACCTTGGGAAATGGAGCCATCAAGGCCAGATCCTCAGTGGCTGTGAATCAGCAAAGCTCTGTACATTGCAAGGGAGCTACAGTGCTGTACCCCTGCTGGGGATCTGGCAGTCAGACTGTAACAGGGAATGAGGTCAGTGATGCCGTCTCACAAGCAAGTCAAAGCATTTCATGTTACACTGACCTGTCCCTAGGGGCTAGAGGAACCTAGGGACACCTCTGCAGCTGCTGTAACGTGGCTGTAGCTCCACTGAAGTGCACAGAGTGATTCAAATTTATACCAGCTGAGGTAGGGTTACCATCTTTCAAGCTGCGGAATAGAGGACACTGCCAGGAGGAGGGGAGGGGGGTAGTTGAAAGCGGAGGAGGGGTACCATGCCACCCTTACTGCTGTCTTCAGAGCTGGGCGGCCATCCAGCAGCCACTGCTGTCCGGCTACGGAGTTCTGAAGACACTTGTTCATATTTCAGAAGCCCACCCGGACAGAGATCGGAGGACCAAAAAAGAGGTCATCTCTGGGAAAACCCGGATGGGTGGTAACCCAAAACTAAGCATCTAGTCCTCTGTTTAGTTCAAGGCAAAAAAATACATGAAGCTGGAAAGGCTGAGAGCACGTATCAGGTTTTTATGGTTCAAAACCTTCCAGGGAGGCTGTAATTATCCCAAAGCCAAACATAACAAACCCAGGACATGCAGAGTTAGATTTCACTGGTCCCAGGTTAGATTACACTCATTTTAAAGACATGTTAGGTATTTTCTCCCCCCTCCGGGAGTCAGGGCTAGATTCTGATCTGACCTGTTACCCCCCTATTGAAAATTGAGTGACCTCAGTGAAATCGCTGGAGTTAGGACCAGCTTCTCATCTGAGTTATACCGGGGTACATCCAGAGTGACCCCACTAAATTCAGTGGAGCTATGTCCATGTCCACCATCTGGGGGCCTGACCCCCCGACCTCCCATGCATCACTCAAGCTGCTGGTTAAAAACCTATTACAGCCGACAAGATCCCAGCCCCCACCAAATCCACCAGCCCTGTTTAAACACCACAAAGCAAAACTCACTGTGATGCTGAGATGGAGCCACTTTGCCTCTGGAGGAAGGATCTCCAGGGATGTTTAAATCAGCAGGGACTATTTCTCCAGCCATGGCTGTCACCGGAGGAGGTGAGCGGGGTTGTACTGTGTAAAGGCAACTCGTGTGTGGGCTAAAATGGCCAACATCCCCTCAAACCAGGAAATGTCAAGATTGAAGTCCCATCCCCCTCCTTACTCTGTGGGTTTAGGGGAATGGCTTAAATATATTGTACTTTCTCCCCCAACACAACTGTGCTCTAGGCTGCCCTTGCAGAGGTCTCTAATGGAGGTAGGTGCCCAAGTGTAATGAAAATCAGTGGGGATCCTACTTCAGTTAGGTAGTAGAACCCAGCTTCGAGCACCATACAGAGGCAATGCACAGACAGTCTTGTGTCTGGGATCACCACTTGTTTCCATGGTTTTAGTCTGCGTTCAAAGAATAAACAGTAATAAAACCAGACCCACCGAGACGGCCACCCACATACGTCAGCTCTCAATGTTCGTCTTATTGTTTTGTGTCCAACAGCCCAGAAACGGGCTTGAAAGTAGGGCTGGTGGGAAATTTTCCAACAATGTTTTTTGGATGGACAATTGGCGTGTTTGGCTAAATGCCCATTTCCATGGAAAGTTTCTGCTTGCCTCAGAAATATTTGGTGTTTCCATCGGAAAACAAAATGCTGATTTCCCCCTCTCTGCGCCCCACCCAACCCAGATTTTCTCTGAAAACGTTTTGTTTTCAACAAGTCAAAGTTTTCTACTGAAAATGTCACCAAAAATCTAAAAAATAATTTTCCCAAACCAAAAATGTTCTGGAACTTTTTGCTCCTAGCAATATATCAGCCTTTTGACTTTTTGTCACAATTCAGAACATTCTGTCTCATCTCCCCCCCCGCCCCCATTTTTCATACTTTTTTTCTTCCTCCTCCTCCTATAAGTAATAACAAGTAAATGAAAATAAAGTGAGGTACCTCGATTGTTTTTGTAGTCTAACTTACTTTTCCACAGACCACTTGAAAACCATTGAGTGTCTCGGCAGACCACTTAATGGTCTCTCCAAATATTGTTTGTACCGTTAGCTGACTATTGTAAAGCGCTTTGGATAAGAGCAGTTTATAAAAAAAAATGTAAAAAAACGTTGGGGTGTGGGGTCTGGTGAGGACATAGGGTGTGGAAGGGGGCTCAGGGCTGGGGGTGCAGGGTCTGGGGGGAGTTAGGGTGCAGGAGCAGGCTGTGGGTTGGGGTGCAAGGTCTGGCCAGGAGTTAGGATGCGGGAGGGGGCTCAGGGTTGGGGCAGGAGGTTGGGGTGTGGAACATTTACCTGGGACAGCTCCCATTTGGTGCGAGGGGTGCAGGTGGGATGTGGAGGGGTGCAGGAATCAGGGAGGGCAGGGGGGAGGGGGG